GGTATGCCCTCGCACCCTTGCCCATGACCCCTGGTGTCATGGGTCTGGTTAAGTGGGGGTGATGACAGGCACTTAATGTGTGAGGAAAGAATTAGAACAGGTGCAGGCGCCTGGCGCTGAGCCAGTGGGCGGTCCCTGCCTAGATAGGTAATGGAGGGGCGGGCCCATGCTCCACGCCCAAGCAGCCACGCAGGATGACTAAGGGCCTTCCCTGGGCCCCACCTGGGGCTCAATGACACAGCAAGTCTGGGGTGTGAGCGGCTGGTGGCAGGCAAGCAGCAGGGCTCTTGTGGCCAGTGGAAGCCTGTCCTTGTCCCCTCATCCCCCCAGTCCCCTTAACACCTGCCCTATGGGGACACCTCGCAGGTGGGATCTGGTTCCCTGTCTGTCCCTCTGCCTGCCTGAGTCCCAGCAGCCCCTTCCCTCCCACTCCCCCTCTGCAGGCAGGGCTTGCACCGCGCGGGCTGGAACCGTGGGTGCAGGTGGCAGTCTTGCGTGTGGGGCGGCAGAGGCAGGGCCGCTCCTCCTTGGGTCCCTGGGCTGTGTGTGCGCCATTTCTCACTCACCTTCTGGAGGTTTCCTGCAGGAGGTGGTCGAGGTGGGACTCAGAGGGCAGCCCCTGGGCCCTGAGAGGGTGGGAGAGTGAGCCATGTCACATGGCCCAGAAGAAATCGCTCACTAAGGCCAGGGATCCGTCAGCCTCCCCCCTCCCTGAACCGCTCTCACGCAGCCTGGGTCCTTGTGCCAGACAGAGAACTTGGGGGAGGGAAGGGACGGCACCCAGGGGCTTCTGGAGGAGGGCCTCATTTCCGGGCCGTAGGGTGGTCCAGTACAGCAAGCTGCTCTTGGCATTGGAAGTAGAGCCGGATGCGGAGAGGACAGGTAGGGGTGGGGGAGCAGGGCCGCACATGGGGAGTAGCTGGACATTCATCCAGGGACCCCTCCAGACGGGCCTGATGCATGCACTGTCTTTATGGCCCCAACAACTGTGTATGGAAGGGTTTCTCATGAAGAAACAGGCCAAGGCCCCAGGGTAGGGAGAGTGCGGCCGGGAGGCAGCCCCTTCCCTCTCCACACCACTGCTTCCCTGAGCCCCGATGAGGAGTGCCGGATGGAGAGAGCAGAGAGAGAGCAAGGGCTCAGGAGAGGGTGGCAGGCACTGGAGATGTGCAGGGGCGGCCCAGATGTGGGAGAAAAGCCTGGACCTCTTAGCACCCAGGGAAGGGAGGGGAGCTGGCAGTGACCAGGGTTCCCTCAGTGCAGGCAGAAAATTGGCCAGATAAGTCCAAAATTCAGGGGACAGCCAGAGGTGACAGTCAACCTGGAGCACATGGCCTGTTAAGTCCTTGCCTTGCTGGTCCCCTGGGAGTTGGGTGTCCCCACGGGCGACCTGGCCTTCCTGTGTAGCCACAATGGAAGTCTGAGGATTACAGCCTGCAGCTCTGAGCTGAGGGAGGGTTAGGGCCAGCCCGGAGCTGGGGGAGCTGAGGAGGTGGCTGGGGGCAGGGTTTGGAGGGCTCGGGAACACGGCTGGGTAAGTGTCGTCTGTCACTAGAGCCATCTGGGCAGAGGTGCCCCCGCTGGGACCTTCTGGTCAGGCAGGCAGGTCTCAACTGCCTCGACGCAGTCAGGCATGGACGTTCAGGAGCCCCCAGCACGAATGCATTTGCAGGGGGCGCACGCACAGGGCCCCAGAGGTGCTGCTCAGCTAGCTCTTGCCTCCCCTGTTCACCCCGGCTGCCCCGACCCCTCCTCCATCCAGCTCGGGCACCGAGACCTGGGCTTTGCATCCCAGAGTGGCAGCAGCTCATGGGGATCAGGGGAGGAGGTAAAAAGGAAGGGGCCTTCCCAGGGCTCCAATCACATGTCAGGTGCTGGGGTCACCAGCAGAGCTTGACGGGAACCAGGGAAAAGGTTTACAAAGAACACACTTGCCACTGACTTCAGTCTAAGAGTTTCCTGTGTGTTAGGCATTCACGAAATGCCTTCAATATTTTATGTATCACCTGTTTAATGTTTTATTTAATATTTAATATTGATATTTTGTACTGCCCATTTAAATAGTTAATGCATTTTGGTACATCTGTTCACCTTTCATGTCTTTTTAAAAATTTTATTTATTAAAAAAATTTTTTTAATGTTTATTTATTTTTGATGGGGAGAGAGAGAGAGAGACAGAGCACGAGTGGGGGAGGGGCAGAGAGAGAGGGAGACGCAGAATCTGAAGCAGGCTCCAGGCTCTGAGATGTCAGCGCAGAGCCCGATGCGGGGCTCGAACTCACAGACCGCGAGATCATGACCTGAGCCGAAGTCGGACGTTTAACTGACTGAGCCACCTAGGCACCCCTAAATTTTATTTATTTAAATTTTTTTAAACATTTATTTATTTTTGAAAGAGAGAGAGAGACAGAGCTCTAGCGGGGGAGAGGCAGAGAGAGAGGGAGACAGAATCTGAAGCAGGCTCCAGGTTGCGAGCTGTCAGCACAGAGCCCAATGTGGGGCTCGAACCCATGAACTGTGAAATCATGACCTGAGCCAAAGTTGGAGGCTGAAGCGACTGAGTCACCCAGGTGTCCCTTATTTTTTAATGTTAGAGAGAGAAAGAGAGAGAGAGAGAGCGAGCAAGGGAGAGAGGCAGAGGGAGAGAGAGAGAGAGAGAGAGAGAGAGAATCCGAAGCAGGCTCCATGCTCAGTGTGGAGCCTGACTTGGGGCTCGAACCCACAACCCTGGGATCATGACCTGAGCTGAAATCAAGAGTTGGGCACTCAACCAACCCATTTCAACAAATGGATGTTTATGAAGGAAATCCTTTATTACTCTATTACTAGCAAAAAATGAAAACCAGAATCACTTGCCAGAAATGGAAGGAAATAAATACTTAACTAGACACTGTTGCTTCCTGAAGGTTCTGAGCCCAAGGCCAGCTTTGGTCTGTGAAACAACGATTGGCAGTTACAGATGGGTGTTGAAGGGGCTATAGAGTCCAGTTGAGATTTTCTCCTTGACTGATCAGAAAATTGAAAAATGGAAAAAGGGAATGTTTTCTTACCATGTGACTCTATTATTTAGCAGAGTCTCTGTGCATTGCCTAAAAGCATCTCAAGAAACACTGGTCCTTTGTGAAGCCTAAGCATCCTTTAGCTACAGCACAGAGGTCATTGCCTTTTCCAGAAGCTGTTGCTGACCACCCTGGCCTCTCTCTTTTCACCTTTATTTCTCTTTCAGCTCTTAGCACCTCCTAACTGAATGACCGGTCGTCGTTCCTTTATTCCATGTGTGTTGGGATCCTACTTGGACGAGACACGGTGCTGGGCACCAGGACAAGTACAAGATGCATAAGCACGGGAAACTGCAATGGAGCAAAGTGCAAGGCCAGAGGGAGAGAACGCAGGAGGGCTTCCCGGAGGAGGGGGCACACAGATGGTTCGCTAGAGATGAGTAGGAGTCTCTGGGTAGAAAAGACGGAGGGATATTTGGACTGGAGCAAACTGGAAGCCCCGAGCATCATCTGAGGTTTGAAGGGTGTTTGGGAGCGTTGCGTGATTTGGTTAGGGGGTCTGGGGAACGGCAGCAGGTCAGGCTGGAATGGAAAGACTGGCCTGGGCCTTGAGTGTCAAGAGTGTGGACCTTCTCTTGGGGGTGAAGGGAAGTCAGTGGAGAACTGTGGTCACACCCAGGTCGGGAAAGACCACTTTCCCCAGGGGAGGAGTCCGGACTGAGCGAGGCAGGGAGAGCCGCTGCGAGCTGATGGTAAAGATCCAGGAGGGGGCAGAGTCCAGAGGGCCTCTGGGGCTGAAGGATCAGAGGTGGTGAAACCGTTTCTGGAGCCCTTCTCAAGCGTCTCTTCCTAGGAGATGGGCACACCATTAACATCATCCTTTCACAGAGGAGAGAACGGAGGCACCGAGTAATTACATAACGTGGCAGAGTCACATGTCACACAGCTCGTGAGCGGGCAGCGGGGGTTGCCTCGGGTAGTGTGGCACCAGAGTCCCCTGCCTTTCTTACCGCTGTCTCCTGGCCCTGCTCACCAGAACACGCTTCGGACCTTCTGCCAGGAGCAGGGGGCTTGCGCATTCCAGGAGGGCTGGGAAATCGCACATCTCTGTATCCCTCAGGGCTCAGTACGGACTAGGCAGTCAACCAAGGTCAATTCCATACCCGCTGCTGGGCCCTGCTGAAGGATCAGGACAGTGGAGCCCCTTGCCTTCCTGCTCCAAGGTCAGCCAGCCTCAGTACCACTGTCTTTATTCAGTCTTTCTCCCCGCGTCCTCTGTGTGAACACCGCTTGCTATTTCCGAGCGCTGGTGGGCATGTGGCTGTGTTGCGGTCTTTCTGCCATGTCATTTGCTTCCTTCGTCACACTGGGGTTTCTGAGAGCAAGGACCGGGTTCCCCATCAGTCTGGGGCTCCGTGAGGGCAGGGGCTGGGCTTCCCACCATCTCTGGCAGCTCTCTGTGGGCTGGGACTGTGCCTCCTCCATCCTCGGGGATGACCCCGTGGTCCCCCAGTCCTAGCCCACCCACAGTGGGCACAAGGTGGGAGCAGGGAGGGGTGCACACAGTGATAACCATCAGCAGGGGAGAAGACTCTACTCCTAGGAGTTCCTATCCCAGAGGGGCTAAGTCTCAGACCTGCTGCCGGGCCGGCTGGAGACCAAACTCCAGGATCTAGGTCACCCCCTTGGCGGCAGAGCTGATTTATGGTCCCCCTGACAGCCTAATATCACCAAATTACCCCACACAATGGAGAGAGGCTGGGCTGCCTCCGGGGAGTCAGAGAAGGACGCTGAGCCTGGGCGGCACTGCCGCCTCCCGATCGCAGACCTCCTTCAGGTCTGTGGGGGGAGGCTGGTGCCGACAGAGGGCACACCCAGGCATGCCACCTTCAGCTGGGGGTATAAGTAAGAAGCCTTGGGGACAGCCCTGTACCCTGCACTCGGGAACTAGCAGCGCTCTGACGACTGCCTCCTATCCCACGAGCTGCAGCAGGGCCAGCCATGAGTTGCAGACAATTCTCCTCCTCTTACCGGAGCCAAGGCAGCTCCAGGGGCGGCGGGGGCAGCATGATGTCCTCGTTCGGTCGCGTCAGCTCCTCAGGGGCCGCTGGAGGAGGGGGCCGATTCAGCTCTTCCAGTAGCTACGGAGGGGGGCGCTCCGGGGCCTGTGGGAGGGGAGGTGGTGGCAGTTTTGGCTCCAGCTACGGTGGAGGATCTGGGGGTGGTTTTAGTGCTGGTAGCTTCGGTGGAGGTTCCAGGCGCTTCGGTGGTGTGTCTGGAGGGGGCTTTGGGGGTGGATCTGGAGGAGGCTTTGGAGGCTCTGGGGGCTTTGGGGGTGGATCTGGAGGAGGCTTTGGAGGCTTTGGGGGCTTTGGGGGTGGATCTGGAGGAGGCTTTGGTTTTGGTGGCGGTTCTGCAGGAGGCTTTGGGGGATCTGGGGGCTTTGGCGGTGACTTTGATGGTGGTGCTGGTGGTATTCTGGGCGCTGATGAGAAGACCACCATGCAGAACCTCAATTTCCGGCTGGCCTCCTACTTGGAAAAGGTGCAGGCACTAGAGGAAGACAACAATAAACTGGAGGGTAAGATCCGGGAGTGGTATAACAAGCAGGGACCCATGGCCTTCCAAAAGGATTACTCCCCCTACTATGACACCATCGAAGACCTCAAGAACCAGGTAGGTGGGGAAACTCTGATCTTTCTCTCCTGGTGTCTCTGTCTCTCTCTCTTTCTCTCTCATACACACACACACACACACACACACTCACATGCTTCATCAACTTTCAGAGTCTGGGAAGAAGAGAGGACAGGCTTAGGTTAGCATGGGGGAGCCTGGGACTGGTTGTGGGGGGGTCTCCTCTTGGCCTGACCCTAAGTTGGGAATGGAGAGGCAGTGTGGAGGGAGCACAGTGATGGAGGCACTGCCCTGGGAGCCAGTGATGCAGTCCTGGGTCTGCCATCAATTCACTATGCCCTGGGAAACCTGATGCCCTCTCTGGATCTGTTCTCCTACACATTTAATGCATGGGATGGGCAGACCAGCTCTTGTCCCTGTTGGTTCGAAACTTCTGTAATGATATGAAAAAAAAAATCCTGTTTGGAGCAGATCGTGTGGCTCAAGAGAGGAGGTAATCTGTGCGTGTCTCTCCTCTCACTCTTTAAGAATTTCGAACTTTCTAGTTTGGGAAACTTAGAAGTTGTATCTCTTCCTTCCTACTTCTCTTGGGCTTCTAGAGGGGCCTGTCTTGGTCTTTCCAGTTGGACGCAGACACACATGCTGGTTGTTTAAGGGGATGAAGAGGATCTAGAACTCCGGGGATGGAAGTAATCTACTTTTCCATACCCCCTACCTGCCCTTATCTACTCATCCTCCTACAACCCATTCATCTATATACCCACTCATCCATCCAGCCATGTTTCTATCTATCCACTTATTCATCCACTCAATCTAGTGAATGACCACCCTCAGTGTTGCCTCCGGCAGACAAAGCGATGTACCAGACTTGGTCTCTGTCCTTGAGGAGCTCTCAGTTTAGCTAATTTGCCAAATGAATGAATGAATGAATGAATGAATGTCACACTGAACATCCTTGCTGAAGTCTGTAAGGGGTATGTGCCAGGTACCAGCTGTTGGAAGCTTCTCCTACGTTTTAAGCATCTTCCCGGATGGGGCCATCATCTCTTATGGCTTTGCCTGGCCTCTTGCCTTCCCAGCAGTGGGTCATAGCAGAGGAGCATGGGCTCCATGCCATCTCCTCTGTTTTTAGATTCTGGACACCACAGTGGGCAACCATAAGACTCTCCTGGATCTTGACAACATTCGCATGACATTGGATGACTTCAGGATGAAGTGAGTCTGGCTGCCACTCCCTCTGTTGTCAACAATCTTTCTCCACCCCCTAGTGCTCTAAATGTCCCAGTAGGGACTTGTGCCCTCTTGCTCATTCCCACCCATGGCTGGTCTGCAGGTATGAGATGGAAAGCACCCTGCGACAAGGAGTGGAGGCTGACATCAATGGCTTGCGGAAGGTGCTGGATGATCTGACCATGCAAAAGTCTGACCTGGAAATGCAGTATGAGTCTCTGCAGGAGGAACTGATTTTCCTCAAGAAGAATCATGAGGATGTATGATACTGGCTACTTATGGCTTATTGAGGAGTGGGAGGAATGGAAGTGCAGAGACAATGGGGGGACAGCTATGGGGCATTGCCTGGGAGACACCCTCTCCGTGACTTTTGAGGACACTCTCCCAGTGCCTCCTTAGCAGTGCCTATGGTGGTGATTGGGCTTTGCCTTCCCAACTGTGCCCCTTTTTTGTACCTCTGGGAAAGCAGGGAGGGCTAAAATGTGGTGGAGAGGATCCTACCCCTTGACCTCATAGACCCATCATCCCTGGCAGGAGATGAATCAGCTGACTGGGCAGAACTCTGGGGATGTCAACGTGGAGATGAATGCTGCTCCTGGCAAAGATCTCACCAAGATCCTCAATGACATGCGCGAGCAGTATGAGAGGATCAGTGCTAAGAACCGTAGGGACATTGAAGAGCAATATGAGACTCAGGTGAGCAGAGTGGGCTGCCCATTCAACCTTCTCTCCTTCTTCCATGCATCCCTCCATTCCTCCACCCCATCCCTCTCTCCTCCCACCCCTCCATCTCTCGGTTCAGCTGTCCTCCATCCAGCTTCAGTCATTGCCCACAAACGTGATTACTGAGTGGCTTGTCAGTGACAGCTTTACGTGAAGTCCTAATGTCTCAGACATGAGCCAATAAGATTGCTGCTCTCAAGAAGCTCACAATTTATTACATGTGTGAACAAAGGCAGAGCATGAACAACTCATGTAAGTCTACGTGCTATCAGACCCCCCAGTAGAGGTGCGTGGTGTGCCTCTTATACCACACTGAGCTCTCTGATGTCTTCCTTTCTCCTTGAGCCTCCAGAGCCTACCACACGACCCTGGCATATGAGGGCATGGTCTCTAGTGTGTGTGTGTGTGCTTGTGTGTGTGTGTTTGGGGGTCGGTTTGAAATGAGGTTAGAAAGGTGGTTTGGGGACAAGTGTGAAGAATCTTAGAGCCTTGCTGAGAGGGAATGTTAAGTTGAGAGAATTGGATTACTCTGGCTGGCTAGCAGACCCAGGACTCAGGATAACTTGTCTTTGGTTTTGGCTCACTCTTGGTCCTGGAGGCAAAGGTCCGGGTGAGTGGGGCAGAACATTCTCCATTGCAGCTTCTGGTCCAGCCTGGTTCTCACTGAGTTCTTGGGTTTTCAGATGAGCCAGATGGAGCAGGAAGTGACGAATAGTGGCCGGGAGATGGAGTCCAGCAACAAGGAGGTGACCCAGCTCCGGCACAGCATCCAGGAGATGGAGATTGAGCTGCAGTCTCAGCTCAGCAAGGTTGGCCGTTCTGCTCTAGACCCTCTGCCAACGTGAGGCACAGGAGGCTTGACATAATCCCCAGGAGTGGGAAGGGGAGGAGCTATGATGTAGCATCCCTCTTATAGCCTCCTCATGCCCCCTAGAAATTGGCCCTGGAGAAGTCCTTGGAAGACACCAAGAACCGCTACTGTGGCCAGCTGCAGCAGTTGCAGGAGCAGATCAGTAACCTGGAGGCTCAGCTCACTGAGATCCGGGGAGAGATTGAGTGCCAGAATCAGGAATACAGCGTTCTGCTCAACATCAAGACACGGCTGGAGCAGGAAATTGCGACTTACCGCAGCCTCCTTGAGGGTGGCCAGGAGGACTTGTAGGTGCCCCAGGATTCTGTGGAATCCCTAGGAATTTATAAGTCCCTGACATTGCATCTGTCTCTCTGGACACAGGCAGTTGGGAAAGTTCCTGTACACAGGGTCTTATGGGTTGAGGACTTCTTCATTCGGTGGGGGAGCCTCAGGGCATCTGGGCTTTGGGAAAGGAGGTTGGTAACAATGAGAAAAGGGACTACTCCTTGTTCCAGGGAGAGGGAGGCTCTCCTTTCCAGCTGTGGTGCCAGCCTAGTCTGTCCTCTAGCTTGCAGAAGGAAAACTCAGGAAGATTCACATTTGGGTCTTGACTCTGTCCAGGTCCATCCTTGTATATGTAGTGGGGTCTCTCATTTTCTCTCTGTGTTATCTTTCATTCTCAGTGAATCTCATGAATCTGGACAAAGGTGCTCTGGAGGTGGCAGAGGAAGTGGATATCACGGTGGAAGTGGAGGCAGTCATGGAAGAGGATCCTGGGGAGGAAGTGGAGGTAGCCATGGAAGAGGAAGTGGAGGCAGCTATGGAGGAAGAGGTAGTTCTGGAGGAGGAATTGGAGGTAGCCACGGAGGAGGAAGTGGTGGCAGCTATGGTGGAGGAAGTAGTTCTGGAGGAGGAAGTGGAGGCAGGAGAGGAAGTGGTGGCAGCTGTGAAGAAGGAAGTGGATCTGGAGGAGGAAGTGGTGGCAGCTACGGAGGAGGAAGTGGATCTGGAGGAGGAAGTGGCGGCAGCTACGGAGGAGGAAGTGGATCTGGAGGAGGAAGTGGCGGCAGCTACGGAGGAGGAAGTGGAAGATCATCTCAGTCCCAGTCCTCTTCCTCAAAATCTGGTGAATGTGATGATACACAAGGTAAGGGACAACTCTAGCTCATGGGGTCAGGGAGGCACGGGTGTTAAGCTGTCATGGTACCACCCCTTTTTGAGTATCTTTGAGCTTCTCTAGGGGATACATACTCTGAACAGAGCTAGATTTTAGGGAGGTCTCTAGTAAGGTGTTATAGACTTACCCTTATTTCTTAATTATCATTAATTTTGACAAACCTTTGGGTGAGGCTAGGACCAAATCTACATGGCCTGAGTCTCCATAGCTTAGGAGTTTGGTTGGAAATTGTGCATTATCTTATATGTTTCCCATCACACCCTATGAGGTGGTATTATTATTCCCATTTTAGAGATAAGGGAAATGAGGTTCAGAGAAGAGAAGTAGCTTATTCAAGGTCATACAATCAATAAATGAGGAACTCAGCTCTGTGGGTCTCCACAGCCAATACTTTCCATCATCATGAGGATGGGAAGACCTGGATTGGCAACATTTCAGGTAGAAAAGAGGTTCAGGTACTGTAGTCAGTGGTTGGCTCATACAGGTCAGTTATATGGTGCAACTATCTAAAGGGGCATACACTGAACAGAAAAGTCTAATGTAAGAGTCACACCGTGAAGTGGTCTCTAGGTCAGAGAAAGTTTCCCCTTGTGCATGTTGAATTTTATGAATTATATGAAATTGTAGTAAAAAGTCTGGGTAACATGACCGGGGATGTTTAGCTCAGAGAAACCTTGAGGTGCATGGAAGCTATCCTTATCTAGGGTGTCTGGTGTGGTTTTGTGCAACAAGAGGAACCACAGGGCCACGGATGTGCATGTATGGGCAGAGGCTGCCCATACTTACCTCAATATCCAAGAAATGTACTAATAAGGCTATTGAATGGAAGAGGGACCAGGCTCATGAAACTTCATCTTCAGAAATGGGAGAGTATCAGTCAGGGCTGCTGCAGGAGACCTTTAGGAATTGGATGGGGGCCACTAGGACCCCAAGGTCCTTCCAGCTCTTTGAGCTCCAGTCTCCTCGCTCTCAGTTTGCCTATCTTTCTCTAAGTCTTGGTTTCTCTGTCTCGTGTTCTAAGTCCTCCCTTCTCACCCTTACCTCTCTTCTGTCTCTCTACAGGCTATCAGATTCGATACTAGAGCTCCTGTAAATGTTTTTGGCTCTGCCTCAGCTGAGTGTCCCCCAGATGGGCAGCCCCCCAACAAAGCCTGCTTATTGCCTTCTGACATCAAGGATGGCTGGCAACGAGTCCCAGGGCTCATTTGGGACTGGGCTGAATGGGCATGTGTGCCTCTGGCTGCTCACCGGCTCCCTCCCCTAGGAGGGTTGGGGAGACCTCTCTTCCAACTATCTGGTCTGGGGGTGATCCCACTTCCTGCCTGATCTCAATTTCCCAATAAAGCTTTCCTACTGCAAATCAAACTTGGACTTTGACCCATTTGTTCTTTGGGATTAAGAAGGGACAGAAAGGAGGTGAAGGGAGAATCAACTGAATCCACTTTGCAAAGTGTTGGTCAGGTTTTCTATCAGTTGACTTTTGCTTGTAACAAAGCAACCCACGATTTAGTGGCTTAAAATAATAATCATTTATTTAGCTCATGATTTTGCAGTTGGTAGTTTAGACTGGGCAGTTCCATTTTCCTTCAAGCATCTGTGGCCAACTGCAATTTGGCTAGCTGCTCTGCCTCTGGGGCTTGGCTACATGCTGCCTGGGGGTGCTGGGGGTGAATGACACACATACTTCTCATCCTCCAGTTGGCTAGCTCAAGCAAGTGTCTCAGGAGAGTGAGTGGTAGTGTGCAAGGCCTCTTGGGGCTTGGGCTCAGAGTAGTCACTTTGGCTCTATCTTACTGCCCAAAACAACTCCCAGCCTTGGCCAGATTCAAAAGCAGGGGAAATAGACTCTTCTCGATGGGAGGAGCTACAAAGTCACAGGGCAAGGACATGGATATAGGGAGGGCAATGACTGAGGCCAGTTTTTGCAAACAATCTGCCATAGCCTATTAGCAGGTCCTATGTCTGGTACAGAGAGAAAGAAGGCAAACACCATGTAGTTTTTGCTTTGGAAGATTTCACAGATGGCAAAAAATATAGCCCAAATAAAAGAGCTCCAAGGCAGAGTAAGGGATATTGTATATCCCTTGACATATATCCCTGTCAACAATGTTGACAGCAACCAACAATGTTCTCCAAAGATTCTGATGGGCCTGATATAGAATTACTTTTCCTGACAAGGGATGGACAGCCCCTCAGCCTGTGTTCCGGATATTATCACAGCTGATGTTAAACCCCCCAAAGCTTGGAAGCTTAAAACAATAACATTGATTTGGGGGCTTGGTGGGGACAGCTCACCTCTGTTCCACTTGGTGTCATTGTGCCTCACAGGCTGGAGTCATTTGAAGTCTTACTCACCTGTCTGGCACCTGGGCTGGAAAGACTCAAATGTGGGGGCTGGCCCTGCAGGGGCTCCTCAGTAGCTTTGTATGGAGATTCTCAGTGTGACCCTTCCAGCAGGGTAGCTTCAGGGTAGCCAGAATTCTTACATGCTGGAAGAAGTTGTTTTGCTTTATTATCTAGACTTGGAAGTCATGCAGGGTTCCCCTCTATTGTAGTGCTCGGGCCTGCTGAGATCCAAGGGAGGAAGCATAGACCTTGCAGGGGGCAGGATTCTAAGATGACCCCAGTTATTCAATCAAACATGAACCTAGGTATTGCTACGAAGGGATTTTGGAGAAATAATTAAGGTCTCTACTGTGTTGACCTTAAGATAGGGAGATTATCCAGTGGGCCTGACATAATCATATAAGCTCTTTAAAAGGAGAGAGTTTTCTCTGGATGATCATAGAAGAGGAAGTCAGAGATGTGAAGTGCAAGATTTTGATTTGCCATTGCTGGCTTGAAGATGAAAAGGGGCATATGGCAAGAAATGTGGGTGGCCTCTAGAAGCTGAGAGCCACCCAGAAAAAGGGGACCTCGGTCCTCCAGCTGCAAAGAACGGATTTTTTTCCAAAAACAAGAAAGAGTTTGGAAGCAGATTTTCCACCAGAGTCTCCAGATGAGGATTCAGACTGGCCAACATCTTGATTTCAGCCTTGTAACACCCTTCACAGAAAACACCTGCAGAGCTGTGAGCTAATAAATGGGTGCTGTTTTAAGCTTCTACATTTGCAGCAATTTTTAAAGCAGGAATAGAAAACAAGTACAGATCCCATATCAAGATGGAGGAGTGTCAATGTCACATTGAAGATCAGCATGTGGAATGGGATATAGTGATCTTTGGAAAATACACTTTTAAAAAACACATTTAAAAAACCACACTTTATTTATTTGTTTGGAGGTGTGGAGAAGGGCAGAGAGAGAGAAGGAGAGAGAAAATCCCAAGCAGGCTCCATGCTGTCTGCCCAGAGCCCGATGTGGGGCTCGATTTCACGAATCATGAGATCATGACTTGAGCCGAAATCAAGAGTTGGATGCCTAACCGACTGAGCCACCCAGGCGCCCTGGAAAAGCAAAATATGCCACAGATTGGCCAAATTATTGGGGGAGAGGTTGCATAAAGGTAAACTTAGGACAACAAGTGACACGGAAGCTCAGGAAAACCCAAGACCCTGGGGTTTATGAAGATGGAAGCTGGATAGTGTCTCTGGGTCCAAGATGGCTCTAGCAAGTTGCTGGAGCAGTGAGAATTTGTGATCATTTCGCTAGTGCTCCACCCTTACTGTGCCACTGGTTGATTTGAACGTGAAGGAATCTAATATGGCAGGAACAGAGCTGGGGCAGAGACACACAGGGGATGTTTACTGAGGCCACAGTAGTGGTGGCCCTGCAGGGATATGCAGTGCTCAACATGGACAGTTTAAGCTGCAATGTCTGTCCAGCAGCAACAGCCGTGGTGTCTTCCTGGCAAAATCCTTTAGAACGATTTGAGCATTGTTTCTGGTTGCATATACTCCAAGTCTGATTCTCTGCATATCCTGGGAAAGATGTACTTCTTTCTCTGTAGATGAAAGCAAACACATTCTGTTATTCTTTGCTCATTGGGATAAGGAAAGAAGAGTTTTCCACATCAGGGGCCAGAGACTATGGTGGTCTGTTCTAGTACGTAGACCAAATGTGGGTCAATGATTGCTATTGGACTAGCCATGTGATAAATTGTAAAATAACCATCCCCTCACATCTGTTTGTATTCTACACAGGGAAAATGGCAAGTTAATTGGGAAGTGATCAGAGGCATCAACTCTGAATTTATCAAGTCTTTTCTGAGGTGCTAATCTCTGTCATTCTCTTAGAAATGTCGTGTTATTGGCTCTTCTTTCCACACTAATCTATACTCCATGGGTCAGGGAGCCATTTATTGACTATATAGATTCCATTGCAGACACTAGGAAATAACCACAAGATGGGTCTAGGGTACTACTGAGCTCACGAGAAGCAGACTTAAATCAAAACTCCATTTGTGGGGCACCTGTGTGGCTCAGTTGGTTAAGCATCTGATCTTGATTTTGGCTCAGATAGTGATCTCACAGTTTGTGGGTTTGAGCCCTGCGTCAGGCTCCATGCTGACAGTGCAGAGCCTGCTTGGGATTCTCTCTCTCCCTCTCTCTCTGCCCCTCCCCTGCTCGTGCACCACCCCCTCTCTCCTTTTCTCTCAAAATAAATAAATAAACCTAAAAAACCCCCTTAACTTGCTATCTGATCCTCTGTATTGGTCAGGTTCTCAGGTGCAACCAACAAAAGCAACTTTGCCTATTTTAACAAGTAAGGGATTTATAAGAGCTCCTGATACTTTGAAGAATCATCAGGAGACAATTAGGAAACAAAACTGGGGCTAAGTTTCTAATGCCTCCCAAAATGACACAGCAGAATGGGTCTGCCAAGGGCATTGTTGCCTCTGGCATGAGTAGGGAGTTTCCAAGTCAGGATGTGGCCTGCTGAATTAAGAAACAGCATCTACAGCCAGAGCTTCAGAACCAGGCTGTCTCTGCCATCGAGCCAGCAAACTGGATGTCCCAAGTGGAGCCCATTTCTTCATATACCTCCCTTCTAAATTAAGGATCACATGGTGCAGAACCTCATTTCAATGGCAAAGGAGGCTGGGAAATGTAGTTTTTGGATGTACCTGGGAAAGAATAGTGATCAAATGACAGATATAACATAAACACGCATAAGCTTCCAGTCTTGAAGCACAGTGTTGTGCTGCTAACCTCCAATTTTCAGGGATTAGAGTTAGTGTGGAGCCAGTGTCCAATAATCCATGAAAGTCTGGGTACTTTTCTCCCCCCAGTACATAGCTACTCTTGTAAATGCCCACAGGTTCCTATGGGGAAGATTAGGAGGTAGACATACAGTACGTGCTTATAATTTATGGCAGAGTCCTTCCTCAAGGGTACCCAGACTTCCTTTTATTCAGAGTTCTCTGCATCTATGAGATAGTTCTGATTTAGGAATTCAATGAGTCTGTCATTCTCCATTATGGGGCTTAAGACAGGCCTATTCTTGACCTAAAGGTTTCTTTTTGGAGTGTGGGGTAGGGAAGTGGGGCAGGTATGGAAGACCCACTTGCTGATATCAGTCCCACATCCTTCTAGTAAGCATTCCTGTACTCTAAAGGCCGATAATCTTAGAACTATCTTTCCCAGACTCCCTTACAGCTATGGCTGTAGGAGAAATTTAGGTTTTTGCCAACACATACACTTCTGTGGGACATGAATCGAGTGGGGAGAGGTCTGGAGTGGAGAGTGTTTTTGCTGGTATAGGTCTACCGGGTATGACATGGTCCCGGAGTCAACAGAACTATTTCTGGCTTACAGATTCCCAAGGTCTCTGATTGTGGCAACCAGGAGCTCCCTTTCAGTCTGGTTCTGTGGTGTTAATCTGGGAGCTATTCCCAGGGGCCCAATCCAGTGTCTGTTCCTCCAAGCTTCTTATGATTTTGTAAGCACCTAATGCTCTGTATTAAATTCCTTTTGGTTAGGAGAAAAGTGAGATTTGTTTCTGTTACTTAATACTGAATCCTGACTGAATCAAGACCTTGGTGGGCGGTGCATATATTTTGGTCCTAGAAACCCATGAACAACTGACCATAATCAGGGATCCCTAGAGATTTTATCATTCTACCTTCTGTTCTAGCCTGCTAGCATTGAAATG